GAAGATAACATGAATCATATCCTGCCCAAGGGATTTCTTAAACGTAACTTACATAATACAGTTATGTGATAATAAGTAACGTATTTATTAATGTAACCTGTATGTATATAACATTTACTGAACATACAAAATAATAAACATTTTCCTATCTCATGAAATGAATAATTACTTAGTCGACTTTTGTTAACAGGAATTTGAGGATAATGTCTTTTGAATATTGTATATTGACTTGACCTGATTTCTTTCTTTTTTGCTCACTTATTTAAAAGCATCTTTGAAAGCTTTTTACTGAAAGATATATTTTCACAGGGATTTATGAGAAACAAAAAAACAAATCAAGGGCAAACATTTTTCTGTCGTTTACATAGTCTGTCATTATTGATGTTAGGATAAACGGTCAATATACTTTTTTTTTTAATGCGATTATTAAACTTTATTAAAGTTTTGTAAAACATGAAAAACAATCTTTGTTGAATGTAGTGTATTCATTTTATTTTGTGGGCTCTGAATTTTTCCATATTGACACTGATTTATTTCAAATAAATAAAATGTTTCACAACTTTATTTTTGTGTGAACCATGTTAACACAGTCGATTTTCTAGTGAAGAAAATAAATATAAGCACTTTCCTTATTCGTACAAGTTCAGTTTATAGTTGGGTGTAGTAAACGATGCTGAGACTACGATGTAATTCAATAGAAGAAACGTATGAAAATCATTATGATCTTGATAGATATAATTAATGGCAATTTCCAAAATCATAGCAGTTGTAAAAATTGGTATAACAATAATGATTATATTTTTATATGATTGAAATCATGCGTCAATTGAACCTAAACCACTATGAAAAACCTGGAAGTACTGGATGGTCGTTTCATCCCATTGTGAGACTCCTCAGCAGTGCGCATCCATGATCCCTGAAACGCGAGATTCGAAACCAAAACCTATCAGTTTCGCTCGTGAACGCTTAACCTCTAGACCACTGAGCAGGCATCCAACGGTGTTGATGTCTAACTTCAACCAATCCACAAAATTGAGCACCAACGTCTTCAGTGAGTTGATATCTCACAATAGACCTGGTTGAACTTCACTGGTTACTGCTTCTCCAGGTTAGTCTAGCTTCAATTGACTCATGATTTCAACTATATAGAAAATTATATAAAGTCTCCGCAAAACCCTCTTTAGATAATAATGAATATAGTTAAAGATTGTATATAAATGGCGCAATTACCTGAGTGACCAGATGATTGAGGTTTATATATATCATCAAACAATGTAAAGGTAACACGGCGAGTGACGAAAATCATTGATTAGAAAAAACAAACTCCATTAAAATGAATATTTGTCTTACTGTAATTAAATTGATGTTGGCTGGAAAAACGAAGTGTGTTTATAAAAGTTATAAATCGTTCAAACAACACAAAATTTCAAGAGCTTTCGGAAAAAGGCAGAGAAAAAGAGGAAAATACAACGGGAAATCAGTCACCAATCATATGGCAATTGAGTTAAAAGTTTATTTGGTATAAGGTGACATTGAAAAGAGGAATAGCTATTCTCTCTGCATAACGCAGAATTCTGCAGACATTCTGTTCATTGACTACTCGATAATCAATAATTAAAAATAAACTTACAATGTTGAAAATTAGGTCTAAATGCAATTTTGTTTAGGGAACTACATCCTATTTCGCTATAATTAGTAACTAACCAAAATTGAAACTATTCCTTATAAATTATTGCTTTTTAGTGAATAATTTCTATAATAAATTAACATGTACAAATATAATTAACTACTAAAAGACTTGAAGAAAGTTTTGTTGAATTCGTATTTGTATTTTAGAAAGAAACATGAATCATATAGGGGTCGAAATAACATTTCAGCGTTACATTCCATTAAATTAGAAACTTGAGTTAATAAGTATTCTAGCTATGGTGTTCATGTATAAGGAGAACTATTATTTACTTACGTGCACCTGCTACCCCTTGTGGAGGAGCAGAGGCCGGAAATCAGCATTCTCCATCCAACCTTGTCCTAGACACTCCTTTCTAGTTGTTATTCATCCTTTTCATATCTCCTTCTATTTCCCCGCGTAATGTGTTCTTTGGCCTTCCTCTTTTCCGTTTCCCTTCCAGATTTCAAGTTAGGGATTGCCTCGTGAGGAAGAACTATACAATTTTAATTTTTAATAAGAGATTTTCGAAAATCGAGGTGATATAAAAATTTTTTTACACAATATCATTTCAAGTGCATTTTTCCGTGTTTTATGAATAAATCTTCTTAATATTGAATAAAAATTTCTTTAATATTGAGAGGGATACAAACCAAGGTTTTCACATGTTTCTAACGTTTAAAGATCATACACATCAAAATAAAACTTGTGAAATAAGGCTATACCGAGGTAATACGCACAGTATGCACATATGCCAATAAGAGACTGACCAGTCCTAAACATCAATGGGAAGATCCAAAAAAGTATTACTAAGTGAATTTAAAAGCTTCCAAAGTATTTTACTTGACTTTTTTATACCAACATTAATGCTGAAATGGATATTTCAATAGCCTAACTTTTTCTGATTATATATCCCGGTTGTTTCTTTTTATCTGTTACGTATATAGATTCTGGAAGTATCTATTACTTAATCACTACAAATATTATCATATTTTTGAGTTATTCCTCAATGCTGAAATTTTTATCCAATTATTATTCTATCCACATTTTTCTTACTTACTTACTTATACCTGTTACTCCCAATGGAGCATAGGCCGCCGATCAGCATATTTTTCTTAGTTTCAATGACTTGTTTCTTTCTGACGATTAATATTATAATCTAATATGTGGTTCTTATTTGACTATAAAACTATCGTGGATTGGTTGAAGTTAGACATTAACACCGTTGGATGCCAGTTCAGTGGTATATCGGTTAAGGGCTTCGGCTCGAGACTGGTAGATCCTGGGTTCGAATCTCGCTCGCGAGAGCGGGTTCGTGGATGCGCACTGCTGAGGAGTCCCATAGTAGGACGAAACGGCCATCCAGTGCTTCCAGGTTTTCGATGGTGGTCTAGCTTCAATTGACTCATGATTTCAACTGTGAAAATATAAAACTATTATCAGACTATATATATATATATAACATTTCTTATCTACATTTCTATAAATTATAAATTATCAAAAGTATTCTTATCTAATTTTTTATTATATATTAAATTTGAAAGTAAATTAGTTGTGTAAATCATGCGAAACAATCTCTTTTTCTATTTCAATTTTCTTTTTGACACTTTTCTACTTGAATAATATATAATAAATGTAGAACGTGATAAGAATTTCCGATATGCTTCAACAATTCGACAGAATATAAGTACGTGACAAAATATTCAATTTTTTTGTCATGGATACAAAAAAAGGATTGTATTCTCATTGAAAAAAAGAAACAACAAAACAAAGTTGACATTATCTCTTTCAATATATCTAAATAAAGATGCTGAATATATATTTATTAAAATAGGCTAAGATGAAATACATCTTGTAGTACTAATGAAGTATGGCAACTTGGACCAATGCATGTCTGTGCCTGGTCCTAGGTTGTAAATGAATGAGTGAATGATATACAGTGAAAACGTGACTATATTTATCATTTGACATGATATATATATATGGCAATATATAATAGTGTGGTGTAGGTTACTGACATCCCCATAAGTAGTATATGTTGATGATCGGTCAGAGAATGTATTTCAGTAGATCGATAAGGAGAGAACAGGAACGGCACGCAATTGGTACGAAAATGTATGAACAATTATAATCGGAGACTATGGACGGATATTTGCAGAAAAAGCAGTCAAATTGAGACAATGGATTGTTATTTTGCGAATTAACTTTTCACTATATGATTTTCATATTTTAATGGGATATTCTGTAATGTTTGTGCTAAAATACATTCGGTTGTCCCCACTAGTGTTCTTTGTTCACTACAATAGGTTTAATTTTTCTAGTTATTTACTATTGAAAGATTAGTGAGAAAACAAACTATTAAAATAATTTTGATTCGGTCTATTAAGTAAGTATTTATGTCATAAATTTAAATTGTTAAGAGAGAAAGCGAATATGTAAATAGAGTGATATTACTCAAACAATCAGAATATGATCGAAACATATGTCACTGATAAGCAATGAATACATTTTGAGCAAAATTGAACCACTATTATGCGATACAAAGTGTTACACTTCCTGAATGGAATATGTATGCCAGAAATTGTTCTACTTTACAAAGATGATACTTATTGTGAAATATTTGTTTCTTACAACAAAATCTGAACATTAGCATAACTATATATAATATACATGTTGAAACAGATCATGTGTAGGTCGAATTAAAATTTAATACGATTAAAAGGAACTTAAATAAATTCTAATAGAAAGATAAAATAATGGCACAAAATTATCAGTTTTATAGAGTTAATGTTAATATGACTTTATTTAAACATTTAAGAAAGTTGTTCTTTGTCATTCATATGTATATAATTATGCCAACAAAGGGATATATGAAAATTGAATTGTATATCAGTGTTTGATCTTTCTTAAATATTCAATGTAACCGTAGAGTTGAACTAACCACTTGAAATGATTATTTTAGGTTTTCGCACAATTGTCAAATCTTTCATATAACTGATAATTAATTTCTCTATAAAAACCCAAAAGAAAGTCATAGTTCAATCGAAGTAATGTAGATGGCAAAAAACTATTAGTAGCTGCTTACATATTAAAAAGGATGGTTATAAATCAGTACGCCGTCTTTTTTTTGCAAGAATTCGTTATATCACTTGACAAATCTATCTATTGGTTAATGTCCAGACATTTTACGCAAATGTAAAATACTTTTAAAGTTACCGCTAAATTTGCTCTCATTTAATCTCCATAATGATGATGATGATCATTTAATGAATTAATGTTAATAATTTTATGCAATATATTTCTTTTAAATTTTTTTAATTTTACCTAAATATAGAAGATTGTATACTTCAGTCAGTTCTTCATGACATTATCTGTTCGAATAATTGCATATGGATGGCGATCTGTTCAATTGGTGTAAATCTTTACTTTATAACAATAATAACATGTTATATGCTTTTTATTTTATCTGGAAAACAGTTGAACAATAATTCATATTTAACGGGAAAACAACAATTATTAGAATTGATCAACAGTAAACATGTTAATAATTATAGTCAAAATAAATCTATTGAAACTAGATTAAACATGAATAATGAGAGAAAACATTCCATAAAAGCATTTAAACATAACATAAATATAAGTAGTAAACAATCATTTAGATCAAAATATGATGATTACATACCAGAAAATTATCATTTACATAAAAAACAAACAGAAAAACAAGAAATTCATCATTCATCTAATCCATATTTTAGTATATACAAATCTAATATTTCTTTGATGAATCTATCTTTACAGACAAAATCAGCTTCAAATATACTACCGAATCTTTTATTACAGTCTCAAAATTCTCATTCTACAATATCAAAATTATCATTTTCGTCATTCTCTAATGAAAATGATGTAGGTGAACCATATTTTGATCTAAATCAATCTGTATATATAACTTCAATAATAAATTCTACAGCTATAATTCCTTGTAAAGTAAAAGATATCGATTTTTCTTCGACTGTTGTAAGTTTATTTTTCTTTATAAAAACTTAACTCTTTTTATAAATGTTATATTAGTAGAGATGAATTATAATGATTAGATAAATCCTAATGGATTTGATTATGAAAATTTCTTCAATGCTCAATTAATTGATTAATAACATCATTACAGGTAAAGAGAATAATACGTAATGTGATTTTTTTTGTCTACAGTATCATAATTATGTAACAATGAATGGGAAAATAACCTGAGTAGTAAATGTTTGTATTGTTATTTGGTAACTAAATGGTTAGACTATATCCAGCTTTAAGGTGGTATTAAAACAATCAATAATCATTGATATTCATTATACACATATAATAATTATATAGATCGTTTTACTGTTTGGGCAGTTTTTAGTCTGTCGACAAATCTTTTCATAGTTTTTCTATCCTGTGGTTGAGAGTAAATTAGTGTTTCATTTATTGCTTTCAGGAAACATTGCTTTATTTACCAAACGATTACATATTTTATTGATACCTTGCAAGTTGAAGAATAACACCAGTACACAGATGTCATAAACAGAGACTTTTTTCTTTTTTTTTTCTGGTTGGTAAATAAACGTAGTCAATATTTAAAGAAAGAAAAATGGACAACATGTGTTAATTATTCTTACTGCAGTTAGGACAAATGAACTATATTCACATTGTTTGAGTTATTAAAACTTAGGTAAATATTTTTTATTTATGATTTCAGTCTTATGACTAAATACAAAAAAGACTCAATTTTAAGATGAATGTTTACATATAAGCTGAGATAGACAGTTGCTAGTAGTGGAATTCAGGACGCGCGTTTCGTCCTATTTGGGATTCGTCGGCTGGATGCACCTTCATTTCAGAGTAGATGTTCAATCTGGGACTCGAACCCAGTACCTTCTGCTACAAAAGCAATCGCGATATCCACTTAGCTGCAGAGTCCTGATAGCCGCTTGCTTATTCATTGGGGTGAAGTTTAAATTCAATCGGTATTATTTGTTTGAATCTTCCCATCGATTTGTTAGGACTGCAACTGGTCAGTCTCTAATTGGCATATGTGCATGCTGTGTGTATTGTAATTCACAAGCATTATAAGCAAAGATGGATAGCGGTTAGTAGTAGAATCCAGGATGCGCGTTTCGTCCGACTTGGGACACGTCACCTGGATGTATCTGCATTTCAGAGTTAACGTTTACTCTGGGACTAAATGATTGCAATCCTCAATGTCAATGGGAAGATTCAAACAAATAATACCAAGTAAATTTGAATGTTTACATAGTTTACACAGTTTATCAACTAACATAACTGAATGATGATTGAATATTTTGTCAACACAATGTATTGATAAAAGAAAAACGCTTCAATTTTAAGTAGTATATGAAGATATTATAAAATTTTATAAATTGATCATTAGAAATAATTTGGTTGATTATTTGTAAAGTTGAAAGTTTTAACCGTTGCCAACTTGTACTGAAAAATAGTTTTTTTAAAAACTTTTTTTTTTCATGTCATATAGAAATCTTTAAATTAATTTCAAATCGTTGCATGAAACAAACAAAAAAGAAAAAATAATTACCTACTTACTTACTTATGCCTGTTACCCCTCATAGAGGAGCATAGGCCACCCACCAGCATTCTCCATCTAACCCTGTCCTTGGCGAAAAAATCCTTTTTTTAGAAATATTAAGGAAATTATTTTTTTTTTACAATTTAATGAATAGAGTAATTCTGATAAATAATTATCAAACAGGAAATATGATAATATGCATGAAATGACCTGATTTAATAAGATAATTAGTCTTTACATACCATAACATGACTTAATTACACCTCTGTACTATATATATATATATATATATATATATATATATATACATGTAATCATTATATATACAGCTACAACTATATAAAGGACAGTCTGTATAAGTCATGAACTAATATAAGTAACACTTATAGATAATAACACTTAGACAAAAACATGTTTCTGATAACGCTACATATCTCTTTAAATAGAGAAAAAATAAAACTAAGTGAGAACAAAATATTTTTGTTGTATTAATCAACAAGATCCTCATCATGTTGAAGTCATCTACTTTACTTACATATATTATTTTTCTTAAGGTCAAATCGGGTCATCTTCTGAATAGATGAATATTATAATGTTTTTATTAGTCAAAATAAACTTAATTATTCAAATAGCTTTACACATGATATAACACTAGTTGCTCATGAAGAATAATTAAAAAATATTTTTTCAATCAAAAGAATTTTTCTCTGATATTTCATACTCTATGATATATAAAATTTGTATAGAAGGCTTTTAAATCATTCTATTTTTTGAAGGAAGAAGCTTTGCATAGAACATTACTTTTCTGAATGTGTTTCCTAATAAGCATCTCATATATATGTAATATCTCATATATGTAATGGTTCATTTTGTACTGTTTGATTAGTCTGCTATGAAACGTTTCGTCAGGGGATTGATTATTCATTTATACATGACGTTGGAAGTTTGTTAAAATAATATACAACACCTCATCAAGCACATATTGTTTGATTCAAATTGTATGACACAGGTCTGGTTAAAAGTAATGTTTACTAAGTGAATGTAAAAAAGAAATATTCTTAATGATGTGTTCAAATAACTTTAAAATGTTTCATGAAAAATAAACGTATTCTAAGTATGTTGAAGCATTGAATACTGCGCTGATTTCTAAAAAAAAATGATCCTGAAATTATCTGTAGAATAAAATTTAAATAAAATTCTGTTTAACTGACAATTTTTACAATGCTTTATCTTGAACTCATTTCATTTAGTGTGAATCATTATTTCAGATTGATCATTTCGAAAGTGTTATTAAATTAAGATAAATCAAGTCATGGCATAGAAATCTGATAATACACTCAGCAACCTCATTCTTATAATTAACACGTGCTCAATAGTGACTAGATTCGTGAGGGAATTCTCAGAGTTCTAATGAGAAGTAATGACCAGCGCAGTTAATCCGTGTTAGGTAGAGACAGGTATCTACCTTAGACAGTGGAAGATGGTCGCTCAATTTCATGGATTAGTCGAGGTTAAACAGTAAAACCGTTTGATGCCAGTTCAATAGTTTAAAGGTTAAGTGTTAGTACTGGAAACCAAAAATCTTGGATTCAAATCCCGCGTACGGGATTACGGATGTGAACTTCTGAGGAGTTCATTACTTAAACGAGACGACTTTAAAGTGCTTCCAGGTTTTCAATGGTAATCTAATATCAATCAATTCATCATCTCAATCAAAAACTTAACAATTTCCACAATCTCATACTGATGCTTTGATTGCTTTTTTTTCTAAATAAATCCTTCTATATTATGAATAAAATTGTTATTGTACTTAATAGATTAGTTAAAATGAAGTTTTCATTTATTAAATCTGTATGGATTTACGTTATAAATACGTGAAATAAACTTCATCTTCTCTCTCCCTTTTTTTATATCTAATATCAGTTATGTCATATCAACTAATTGTATTAAACAATTAAAGCAAGAAAATGTCTTAATATCTATGCGATAAACATTTTAAAACGTTTCATTTAAACATAAGCATATAGTTTTATAAAATAACTATTTCTATATATAAGCCAGATTCTTTTGGAAAGAATAGAGGATTAAATTGTTATAATCAGAATATATATAAATATGAAACTTCAATGGATTAAATAGACCACAAATATACCTATATATATATAGTGAAGTGAACATAACCTAGTTACTAACTGGTGAATACATATAAAAAAATAATATTAAACTATATTGATGCAGAATCATTTTAATCTAGTGATTAGTTTAACCTACTATCTGATTGAATTTTACACTATTTCACTTCTTTAATATACATTTGTTTATAATCAAATGACTTGGGATTTATTGTTTCATATTTTGATTAGAGAAGAAAAGAGTTTAGTCAATAACATATTACTTATTTGGTTAATTATTAGTAATATTATGAATTATTTAATAAATGATTTGAATAGCAAGTTAACTCTTTTTCGAATTCATAAGAAATAATAAGTGAAATTTGGCAAGAAAGAATGATTAAAACTGTTCAATAATTGTTTTGGATTTGAAAAACTATTTAACGATGAAATAGTATTTGAAGTAATTTTATAAACTTGGTAAAACGATTCAATTAGTATGGTTTGTTTGTATGTTTCCATGGCGTTTGAAGCAAAAGGTACTGAGTTCTAGTCCCCAGGGTGAGCATCAATTCTGGAGTGTAGGTATATCTAGCTGACGAGTCCCAGAGTGAACGAAACGCGTGTCCTGGATTTCATTGCTAGTCACCTGCCATCTTTGCTTTGTAAAAGAATGCTAAATTTTATTAAATTAACCAAATGTTTAAAAAAATTACAAAACTCATGCTGAAAATGAATAACTTAACTCATCAGCATATCTTAAGCTAAACGCTTAAGTTTATTACATTTATATAGAGTATTGAGAATAGTTTCAGAACTGAAGTAATGAAATAGATTGGAGTATTTCATTTGAAACCAAATTCGTTAATTATCAAAATTCAGTTTCATGGAACGTGACGGGTTAGATACAAATAATATCGTGAACGAAATGTAAACAAATAATTGCTATTTTCTTTAAAAAAATTACTGTTCACAAGGGTATTAGAGTCATACAAGAATGGTAGATTTCTAGAATATCCAACTTTTATTTAGTTTCGAAAAAGAATAATTTTGAAAAAAATAATTTTGTGATTTCTACGGTTTCACAAAAACAAATCTATTACACTAACTGATCGTTTATTCTTGTTTTCAAAGTCATTAGCGATGATTAAATTTAGTCTACTACTTTGCCGTATGCTTAGTTTGTATGATTATCTCAGTTTTAGAGAGGTCAACTATAGCTAAAATACTAAGATAGTAATGTCTGTTTTTGTAATAACAGGTCATGTCGATATCAGTATTCACAAGACTTTATATACACTCTACTGAAAAGCTACATCTAGCGCATTTGTAAGCAAAGAACTTCCAGTCATTTATCTTTAAATTTCTTTTGGTATTAAATAGTTAACATACTAAGAACAGATTACTACCTTACCCTTCTATTCATTCAAGTTGATTATATGTTTTTACATGAATACCTACGAATTTCAGGTATAGAAATATTGAGTTGCAGCATAAGTTTAGTAAAATATGACTTTGTTTAAACTAATCCATTATGAAATTTTACCTATACCACTAATAAAGTTGCAAGCTGTAAATGTCATGTTTTTAAACTTTATTTTATTGTTTATCTCCACTAAGCACTAACGGATATTGAATTAAAATGTTATTATTTTTCATAGATGTCATGGTGGAAAGAGGATTTGCCGACACCACTGACAGTAGGTAATGAAATATCACTTCCTCGTTACGAAATCGATCGCACTGATCCTGAATCTTGGACATTGATGATTTTTCATGTTACTGAAGCTGATAGTGGAACATATATTTGTCAAATTAATCTAGCCACCATTAAAGAGAAATTTTTCTACCTCAAAGTTATTGGTATGTTATCATGTCTATCAACTATTTTTAATTAAAAAAATTATTTTACTACAGTATGACATCTAATATGAATGACTGTTATGAGTTAGTTTATTCATACTTTATACCAGTAATGTAGACATGAAATATATGCAATCACATGGTATATACTTTTATTTTGTACACATACTTGATAAGTACACAGTTATGTTGTATACATATATTACAGTGTATTTTTGTGCAAGCAGAGATTAATGAGTGTAAATAAAATACAGATATCCAACGTAAGCATAAGCTTGTGATAATCAAGATAAGATTGATGTTATTTTAGGTAAACGTTACTTTTAAAAGTGATATTCCCATAGAAACAACACTAAATCGGTTATAATCAGAAATTTATAAAATAACTTCCCTATTTTATTTATTTACACTATTTATTCTTTTTCTAATTTATGCATTAATGCTAATCGGGTTTGTTTTCGTCCACCAATGAAATTCAAAAATTAAACTGACCGGCTAACTTGTCTAAATATGAATTTTTAACTAACAAAAAAAATTAGCTCAGAAGAATGAACCGGATATGACAAAATTAAATGATGAATATGTCAAAGATGAAATAGTACAAAATACATTATGGAGAGCATCAAGTAAACAGAAAAGTAAGATGATTTATTTTTTAATCTTTTGATTCTGTTTTATTTTATTCACTCACAGTTTCATTATATGACTTCGTCTTCATAATATAAATATTAACCAGTTTCATCTGTTATGGTAAATATATTGTTCAATTTTCTTGTTTCATATGTTGTTCAAACTACACTTCATGGATTACGATACGTAAAATGTTTTGTATCAATATTAGTATTGTCAGTATGTGATTATGAAGATTGTTAAATTTCATTGAAATCATAATTCAATCTAAGTTAGAGTATCAATGAAAACCTGAAAGCGCCGGAAGGAATGAGAAAAGTTAGACATTAACACCTGAAGATACCACTTTTTATCTAAAGGTTAAGCGTGGATATGCACTGCTGAAGAAGTCACATGCTGGGACATAACGACCATCATGTGCTTATTGAAATATAAATTACGCAGTGAATAAAATGAGGCAAACGTAAGATTTATTAGAAATCAGATTACTTCATGGATTTTCATTGAGATTTGACATCTATACGACATATTGTGGTATGGGTTACTGATATCCACATAAGTAGTATATTACGATGATCATGCATAGAATGTATTTCAGTAGAAGATCGATAAGGGAAGAACGGGAACGAAGAGCAATGGGTATGAACATGCATGAACAATAATAATCGGAGACGATGAACTGATATTAGCAGAAGGAACGTTCAAGATTGAGACAATTGATCGATAGTTTTCAAATTAAATATTTGCTCTATGGTTTTCATATTTTACTGAGATGTTCTGTAATTTTTTGCTAAAATACATTCGATTGTCCCCATTCGTCTTCTTGTTAATGACAATACTATAAACCAACACCATAATATTTATACAATGCATGTCTTTCTTTTGAGGTAAAGATATAGATTAAAAAGGAGTTGTTGCACATGTTTACTTCTAAATGACAACAATTATCAGGTATAAATAGAAAATCACTGAACTTTAGTATGTTTTCTATTTAAATAACTATTTTCATAAGAATTATCATAAAGCTTTAACAAAGTGATACTAATAAAATTTGAAAGCTATATTACCTCAGCAATAACCTTCAGTGTTATGATAAATGATGGAAAAAAATTACTTTTCAGTACACTAGAGCTAAAATCTAACTACTTATATATTCATATTTGAAAGTCTACATATCATCTGTTAATTGTAACTATTGAGTACTTCAGTAATAGACGTATGAATGATTAGACGACAATTATAGGGTTACAAGTTATGTACCTATTATCATTATTATAACAGATAAGCATTTAGTTGTGTCAATTATAAAAAATTAACTATTCTAAGTAAGAGAAATTATGTAGTAATTTTCAAAAGTAATAGAAACTTTAGAACACTTCAGAGAACTATTGAATTGGTTGTATATAAGTAATATTGTTAAATTACAACGTTACATTATTCATTATAAGCAAAGATGAATATTAAGGCTATATTGAGGCAATACACACAGTATGGACATATGCTAATAAGAGACTGACCAGTTGCAGTCGTAAACACCAATGGGATGATTCGAACAAACAATACTAAGTGAATTTTGTTACATTAATCCGTTTATAGACGATAGTTCAAGTTAAATTCATTTAGTGTTGTTTACTTGAAACTCTTCATTGACGTCTAGGACCGCAAATGATCAGTTTCATATTAGCATATGTGCCAACTGTGCGTATCACCTTGATAGTGAATTAAGTCACAAGTATTACAAGCAAAAATTGATAGTGACTAGCAGTGGAATGGACAACACGCGTTTTCTCAGCTGGATGTACCTGCCTCTCAGAGTTGTCCAAGTAAAAAATACCATGTGAATTTAAACTTCACACCAATGCACAAGCAAATGGCTATCAGGACTCTGTAGCTAAGTAGATATCGCAATGGCGTTTAAAGCGAATGGTACTGGGTTCTAGTCTCAGAGTGAACATCAACTCTGAGATGTATGTACATCCAGCTGACGAGTCTCAAATGAGAGGAAACGCACGTTCCAACATCCACTGCTAGTCAAAGTCTATCTTTGCTTATGATAGCTAAAGTTGTTTAAACTTTCTAATATTAACTTTTATTCATATGAACTACCAAAATGAAACGATTATTCACGTAACTATAAGAAAATTCTGTATAAAATGATCATATAAGTAGCCGTGATATAAATATATATTGAAACTTTTACATTTGATGGACAATGATATGAAATTTCTATAATGTATGAAGAAGATAAGTTTGAAAGACAATGATAGTTTCATTTATAACACCTTTCAAGTTGTTCTATGATATCATATTAATTATTTATTTAATAAGAATACAAACATTCATTACTATATTATTGGGAAAAAAGAATGATTATTTGATGAATGAATAAGTAAATTTATTGTGATTTGTCCAAAATTAAGGTATGATAAGGTGATTTATATCATTTTGATTTTGTTAACTGAATACAAATTGATGTGATTTATATATATATAAAAAAAGTTATTCTTGATGAAATTAAGGACACTTTTTACAAATAAATTAGTCTACTTAGTTTATTCTCGGATAGAAATAAAATCTTTACTAAGGATAATATAAAAGAGTAAACTAATAGGAATTGTTTAATAACTATTTATTTCAAAGTTGAAATCATGAGTCAATTGAAGCTAGACCACCATCGAAAACCTGGAAGCACTGAACGGCCGTTTCGTCCTATTATGGAACTCCTCAGCAGTGCGCACCCACGATCCCGCACTCGCGAGATTCGAACCCAGTACCTACCAGTGCTTCCAGGTTTTCGATGGTGGTCTAGCTTCAATTGACTTATGATTTCAACTTTGAAATATACTGAAATCTCCACAAATCCCCTTCTAGCTATTTATTTGATTGAGATTATGAATCGGACAATGTTAGACCACTATTGAAAACCTGGAAGTATACTAACACAGTTGAATACCGGTTCATTAGTCTAAAGGTTAAGTGTTTGCATGCGATATATAAGATCCTAGGTTCGAATCACGTGTGAGGGGTCGTGGATGCGTACTATTGGGAAATCCTATACTAGAATGAAACAACCGTTCAATGCTTCCATGTCTACAATGGTGGTACATTATGATCCCAATAAAAACTTAACAATCATCACATTCTTATACTATTAACTATCTACTTTGTGATCAAATCTTAATATTCAGGTATACTCATTATCAACGTATCAAATTGATTAGATCTTTTACTTAGTTATACTCTACTTATTTGTAACTATTCTCAATTATGTTTTTTGATGGATTTAAGTATTTTCTTTATATATTAAATTTTATATTTAATATATAATTCAATTTATAAACGATAATTTTTTATTCTCACATAATCCATACCCATTCACTTATAATCCAAATGAACAAAATTAATTTTTAAATTAAATTGAAACATTGAAATGAAATATTGTTATGTATTATGTGTTATTATAACATTAATATTCTTCATTAGGTTAATATAATTTCTTTTTTACTTGGATATTCAGTAGGTAAACAATTTCGTGTCATTGTTTTGAACAGGTTTTGTTTTTTGGAGAATATAATAAGCTCTTTTCATTGGAAAGTTTTAAAATAAATACAAAAGATAGGAATCATGAAGTGTTTATCGTTTAGATTAATGGTTTTAAAAGGAAAAGTTAGTATTATTTTAAGGTTATGAGAAACTATGTTTAAGAAGTTCACTTGGTGTTATTTGTTTGAATCTTCTCATTTATGTTTAGGACTGCAATTGGCATATATGCATCCTGTGTAAAATGCTTCAATATAGCCTTAATTCACAAGCATTATAAGCAAAGGTGGATAGTGGCTAGCAGTGGAATGGAGGATGCACGTTACCTCCCATTCGGGACTTGTCAATGAATTTAAACTTCATCCCATTGCACAAGCAAGTGGCTCTCAGGAATCAGTAGCTGAGCGGATAATGCGATGGCGTTTGAAGCGAGTCACAGTGTGAACATCAACTCTGACATGCAGGTACATCCGGCTGACGAATCTCAAATAGGGTGAAACGCGCGTCCTAGATTCCACTGCTATCCACTATCCATCTTTGCTTATGTTTAAGAAGATCGAAAATAGTTGAACGAATCATGATTTAGTTATTACGTGTATAGGTTTAACATGTATTTAACAAAAAACTATATAGTTAATGAAGTTAAAGCTACTGAAACCTTGTTAGTAATCAATGAATCTCATGCAGAAAAGTTTTTTCTTATTACGTATACATCCTTTAAGAAAACATAATTGTGTTCAGTCATTGCAAAAGATTAACATTATTATATACAACTAGATACTTGGTGAAGAAATTTTTATTGTACGATAATCTATAGTTCAGAATGAAAATCGTCCATATTAACCTTGTTTGATAATAGATTAAATTAATATTCCCGTGTCATTACGATACTTGAAATTCTTGTGATTATTTAACTGACTTTCAATAATATTCAGAACGAATGATTACCATGAATCCATGGAATTGAGTCAACAATATATTTTATATTGTTTACGGGGTTGTTACATTTCAAAGAAATCAGCTATTCAAATCTTACAATAAATTTAACAGATCTTATTTTGAGTAAATCACTTGGTAACATTTGGTTGAATACTATATTTAGCATTTTATTTATATCAAGGTTAAAGATATGATTGTTATTTCAAGAAATGGTAAGATAGATTTCAGTGAGTTAGACTTACAGCTGGTAAAAAGAAGAAAAACCAAAAATCCACTATGTCCGTTTTTGCACAGTCTTTTCTTTATTATGGTTACTAGTGTTGTTATTTTTTTAATTAATGGTATCTAGGTGTTCACATCTTTAATAACCCTGGTCAAAATCACTATTTAACATGTTTTGTTCAATTTCAACATCCAACTGCAACATCATCTATATATTGGTATTATAATGGAAATAGAATATATCCTAAATTAGAAAGTAGGTTATTTATTAATAAAAAAATATTTTAATTTAGATAATTATTTAAAAATAAAAGAATTATACGTAGATATACAAACAAAATGGATTAATCAAACAACACAAATGAGTAAACTGAAAATTGGACGATTAACAAGAAATAATTCAGGTATTTGGACTTGTCGTAAAGTACCCGGGACTCATTTGGAATCATTAGAGGAAAGTTCATTGGATTTGCAGATAACAAGTAGGAAATTTCTTGTTCTATAGATTTATTACGTTTAGTTATTTAATGTTTTACATTTGTACCAAAATTGTAGGCTGGAAATATTTATATGAAGATTACTTGCTATCTATTACATAACTATTTCACAGTCCTTGTGGGTTTTAAGACAAAAATGAGTCTGACGAGGTACCATTGAAAACGTGGAAAGATTAAACAAATTATCTCTTATAATATCTTTCAACTGGGAATAATCATACATAACTAACTAATAATAAATAAAGGCTTTTAACAGAACCAAACTTCTGAGTAGTATCATGGACTTATATGTATTAATCCATATCAATCAGACTCCAGGTATCACTTACTATTAAAGTCAACAAGGACTAATATTGATAAGTACTGTGACGTTTATAAGCTTAACATTGAGAACCACAGGAGATTGAAAACAACAATCATACATATCAACTATTTAGGTGTAGTGAAAATGTTTAATTCGCTGTTAAATAACAACAGTTCGTATTAAGCACATATTAAGCAGATAAGATGGTGGTTGGAAGTATTCTACTGGAAACCCTGTACCTATGTTTTGTGCTATTTGGTATTCGACAATAAGGTATTCTTTCAATTTTGAGGGAAGTAATACTGTTTGATGGATTCAATCCTGTATCACTGTCAAAGACATTACAACTGAGCTATATATATATATATATATATATATATGATGAAGTTTTGTTCTCTGAGCCGGATGGTTCGGTCGAGGAGCTTTCATCCTCTTTCTGAACGACATCATCAGCACAAACTTCGGGTAGAAGTGAAGTGTTTGAATTTCTTCACATGGGATTTACAACTTGTCCTCTGCACTTCGATGTTGATTGGTTTTTGTTCACTTTAAATCTGTCATTGTTTATTTCTTTTGTTTGTATATCCCATTGGCTTGATTTTTGTTCCTATGTTTCTGCATAGTTTTTCTGATTGGTTGATAAATTGGATTGCTTTCAATGTGCTTGTTTATTGTTGATTGATCTGAGTTCCAAGCTTCTAAAAATTCGCTGGTGTTTTTGGAATTGCCTCTGTCCAAAATCTTCACATTTATTCCAGTTGAATGTGTGTCCGTAGTTGTCCACGTGTATTGATATGAGTGAAGATATGTCGTGGCGTTTGACTGCTAATTGATGTTCATGCAGGTGAAGATGAGGAGGGTGTCCGCTTTGCCCGATGTAGTGTTTGTCACAGTTGACACAATTTATTTTGTAGATAATGTTCAGTATATATGTATGTATTAGACAATTTGCAAAGACGACTCACTTATATTTTTTTTCATTTCTATTATCATTTTTATTTCTAGATATTAAAACCGAACATACAGAATTGCATAATCCTCTCCAAAGTAATACTGGCAAATCTTCAGAGACAAGGATATTACCTTTCCATATTTATTCTTATTTCATGTATTTTTACATTTTATTTTCCATATTGTATTATTCTTATGTATAGATTCTTCCAAATGTGAATTATTATCAGATTTAATAACTTTTTAATTCATTGAATCAAAAAAACGAAACAAAATAGAAACTACTTTAATTTTAATTTTGGTCTTATACCGGATACCAATAAATGTGATTTAGTGGTTCTTGTGCATTTATTGGATAAATCTTCTTATCAGATTCTTTCTTTTTATGTTTTGAGTTCACTAAGAGATTGATATCAAGAAACATAATTATGAAACAAATTGTTAGGAAATTGAATCAAAATTTAATTTGTAAATAAGTGTATATAAACATTTATATATATAAATGAGTTGTTTCATGGTATTTATTTGTTATTTTCTTATTGCCTTGACAACTCAATATTACCATGGTGAAAATATTTTCTACCATTGATACTCTAATGGTAGTTGAACGGCATAAATAGTATGACAATTTTTCATAGTCAACAGTATATTAGCTAAAAAAATAATTTTAGATGAAAATTGTTCATTTTTATGAACTAATTATTCATTAATATTTCTCAATAAATCAACAGCAAATAAACAATTTTTCTATATATAGTTGAAATCATGTGTCAATTGAAGCTAGACCACCATGAAAAACCTGGAAGCACTGGACGGCCGTTTAGTCTTATTGTGGAACTCCTCAGCAGTGCGCATCCACGATCCCTCCTTTCGAGATCTGTATTCAGGATCTACCAGTCTCACGCGCGAGCACTTGACCGATAGACCACTGAGCTGGTTGGCATCTGATGATGTTAATGTTTAACTTAAACCGATCCGTGAATTTGAGCAACCACTTCGATTAATTATCAAAAACATCATTAGCTTTGCGATAGATATTGTCCTGCAAACTATTTAATATCAATACTTAACTACATTTATTGATAATAATTAGTTTAGATAGGAATTATAAAGCAGAAAATATTGTGAAGGAGAAAAATCCACGTGTAATATTTAAGAAATATGCCAATTGATGTTTACGTTACCAACAGTTATTCAGTTTGACAAATTTTCTATTTGTAGTTTTGTATGTTGTTACCCTAATGAATATACTGAGCACATGTTTATAACCAGATATATCAATCACCATTTCAAATATAAATGTTGACAGTTATGAATTTGTCATAGAAACAGAGGTTGTGACAGCAAAACTTATTGAATTTTTGAATAAACGATGAAAATATTTGAGTGATTCAGATGATTGAGTTTACAAAAAATATATGAATATGTAAACAAAAAAAAGAATTCCTTATAGATAATAATTTTCTACTTTCAACATATATGATAGTTTGCTTCAGTTTGCCCCTAAATGCCCTGGTACGGCCGAGAGTGGGGAGAGTATGCTCTCTCTTTCTCGAAATGCTATTACATGGGCAAGTGTATATAGCCTATGCCACGGATGTCCTACTCAGTGCTTTTTCGTGGAGGGGGTGTTGATTGCGAAGTTGGGAGGACGAAAAGCGAATGTCTGGCGCTTTAACTGGGTTGATGGACGCGGAGGATCCAACTACGGGAGTTGAAAAACCCTGATTCCAAACCAATGGTGCATATGGGCTCCAGTATCCTGAAAGAACAAATGGCGTATGAACCTATTGTTGGCCACAGGCTACCATGCGACTTCATCTCTATACGATGCTCCAATGTTTTGTGGATCAGATCTTTAGGTCAAACGCTCGGGGTGTAGCCCCCTAAGAAAACAACCTGCATCGGTTGGGCACCCGTGCGGTATCACAGCCTTCACACAAATCAAATGAAATTTGTGTGGCACATATATATCTTGTGCTCCTTTCTACCAATATTTATGTTTTTTAAATAAATAAATAAAAATTCAGTTTATAAATTGGATAAATTCACCAACTGTATCAAATTTATTCACTACTTGTCATGTTTACATAAAAGATCAAATTTAAAATACAGTTTATTCGATTTTAATCCAAAGAATAAATTTAGCGTGAAGTTATTGTTAAGCATGACAACGATTAAGCGTTTATGTTTATATTATTGACAATCAAAAAAAACAACGTTTGAGCAGATATGAAAAATCCTTTTTCTTCATTTTATAAAATACATTTTAGTTTATGACGACGTCAACTTCATGACTATCAATTAGATTCTAAAGGTTAGCTTCTTATCATATTGACAGAACGTTAAAATTTTCAAGCTAAAAAACAAGTAAACTACAATTTCTTAAAATATTTCATAGATAATTGTTGATCGAAATCCCTGTGTAATTGTATGGTTGTTTTTTTTACCATTTCACCGTAGACACTGATGATTACATATGACCAGACATAACATTCGGATTTTATTTCAACTGACTGTAGACATATCTTACGTATTTCATTATATATATATCATACGAAATATTCATTACAATTCTCTAGTGAGTTAAAAAGCTTGGGTAGTTGAAAACGAATACAACTAAATGCAACAAAAGGCAGGTTAAGAAACAACTTACACTAAAAAAGAGCAAAAAAATACAGTGTATTTGTGTAGAAAGGAATAAAATTAAAAGTACTCCTTGATCACTATACCACTTAACAACTTTTCATTTGTTGAACAACACAACCAATCAATCAACCATCATATATGTATATATAAATATATAACGAAAGTAGAGTAAGTTTTTATTTACCAATGTCGATACTAGTTACATTCTTAGGGTATCTTTAATCAAAACAGTAGAAGAATGTAAAAAACAAAAAAAATTTCCCGAGATAATTGAGAATTATTCATCTATAAATACAGTGATGAAATTTAAGGAGACAGAAAAGAAAATGAAGAAGATGGTGTAGAATAAATAGTAATGAGAATAGTATTAATAGTGGTAGTATAGAAAAGGGACTATGATAATAGTAAGTAAATAATAAAAGAAAAATAAATCATGATAAGAGCAATTCTTTTTAACAATCAACAAATGAAAAAAAGAGACTGTTTTCAGTCACTTGAACAATTGGTTTAATCATATTAAGAGAAAAGAAAAGGTAACAATCAAGCAAAGACAAACTTTTTTGTATTGTATAATGGAGCAAGTAGTGGTGGTTTGGTGATTGAAGTATTTGACTTTTATCCTCTGAATTGTACTTTTAAAACATTGTACATTTACGTCTACAGTCATCGTGGCATTCACTGAAAGAAGTTTTATTCAAAATGAGAAAAAGTACATCTTTATTCAGTAAATGTATTATAATATTCCTTCTTCCTTAAACCCAATTTATATTGAATGAATGGACAGAAATCCTTGATTTTAAGTTTTATCTTCAGTGTTTATTTGACTTTGAAGACAATACACAAAGTATCTCCTAGTTATTTCACAATTATTGTCTATTTTTAATAAGACATCAAAACCTGTAAAACGTTGACCAGAAAGTTAGTGTAACCATTTATATATAAGTATGTGGATTTCATATAGATATCAGTATATTGGTAGTTATTTCAAATTATATAGATAAAACCTCATTTGATTCGTCCATATAGTGCAGGATTATTTATTAGTAACGGATGATTGATACATTAAGTTAAAAAGGTTGTTATTTTTCACAGAAATATATCATTCGTTGTATAATTGCATGTTTATTGAGTAAATCAAATAACTGATAGGTAGTAGTGTGTTTCTAAACCTTCCTTTTTAATACATCTGAAGAATAATGAACTTTCAAATAAGTAAATTTTTAATAGTTGAGATCATGAGTCAATTGAAGCTAGACCACCGTGGAAAACCAGGAAGCACTGGTCGGTCGTTTCGTCCTATTGTGGGACTTCTCGGCAGTGCGCATCCACAATCCTACCTCGCGAGATTCGAACTTAGGACCTATCAGTCTCGCGCGAGAACGCTTAACCTCTAGACCACTCAGTTCTCAGGTTTTCCATCGTGATCTAGCTTCAATTCACTTATGGTCTCAACTACTGAAAATTACTATAATATCCACAAAATCCCCTTCTAATATTTCAAATAAGTGTAATTTTTTTCAACTACATGGTAAGAGAAGTTTAATTCGAGATCTTCATTTCGATTACAACACGGTTCTCTCTTACTGATTGTAAATGATATCCACTAAGTATTTGAAAATATTAGCTTAATTATGATGTACAAAATTCTGTATGGATAGTTTGGTGATTTCTTTTATGTATCTATACCAAAGATACAAGTTTAGAAAGTTAACACAAAAACTTATTTATTTTGATCATAACTATTCTGTCGTGTTCTTCAACTAAAATTTAAAATTAGACTGTTCAATAATCTTTGAGACAATAACACTTCAAATAGAAATTTTTTATACATTTTATTTCGATAAACACTGATGATATATTCATCATCAGGTAAAAAGGTAGGTCTGACAATAATAACTATTCAATTATTTTCATAGTTGAAAGCGTGAATCAATTGAAGCTAGACCACAAGGTAAAACCTGGAAGGACTTGACGGCCGTTTCGTCCTATTGCGAGAAGCAGTGACCAGAAGAGTTCAAACCACGTCTGTTGTGAGATAGGAACTCACTGGAGACAATTGGTGAACGGTTGTTAAACTTCGTGGATCGGTTGGAGTTAAACATTAACACCACCGGATGCCGGCCAGCTCAGTGGTCCATGGAATAAGTGCTCGTGCGCGAGACTGGTAGATCCTGGTTTCGAATCTGACGAGGTGAGTTCGTGGATGCGCACTACTGAAGAGTCCCATAATAGGATGAAACGGTCGTCCAGTGCTTCCAGGTTTTTCATGGTGGTCTATCTCCAATTGACTCACGCTTTCAACTATGAAAATATCAAATCTCCACAAAACTCCTTCTGATAATAATATTCAATTATTCCTTTTTCTAAATCATTCCATGTTTCAACTGCTTTCTGTATGTTTCTATTGATAACTGCTAATAAACGGTGAAATATCATATCTAGAAAGCTTATTTAAATGTGATTAAAATATTCAATAAATGTTTGTCTCCAGTCAATCTTTAAACTTAATTTCAATCTATACAATGTCACTTTTCTATAAAAAAAAAACAAAAAAACAAATGAATTGAATTTTTATTCTTCAAGTATTTCAATCGTTTA